GAGTTTCTAATAGTGATTTATTAAGAAACCCTGACATTTTGCCCAACATTGTAATTTTAAATCCCACATTTTTAGAAATATTGTGCACATGTTGTTTCCAACTTAGAGTGTCGTCAATTATAACTCCTAGGTACCTTATGCTGGAAACTTGTTCAAGTTTTGTGTTATCAAGAACAATATTTAAGGTGTTATTAATGGTCCTAGAGTGATTATTTCTGGGAAGCATTATTTTAGTTTTATCGGTATTAATGGAAAGGTGATTATCATTATACCATTTTTTTACATTGTTCATTATATTTTGTAATAAATCATTAATTATGGTTACGTTGTTACTGGATGTGTAAACAACTACATCATCAGCAAAAATGCTACAGATACCATTTCCGATAGATTGTGAAATATCATTAATAAATAAGAGGAAAAGAATAGGTCCTAGAACACTACCCTGAGGAACACCAATGTTAATGGAATTCAATTTTGATTTGCTATTATTGCAGTATACAAATTGTTTTCTATTTTTAAGATAGCTTTTGAACCATTCAATAGCATTTGGATTTACACCATAGTTAGCAAGTTTGTATAGTAGAATTGAGTGATCAATAGTGTCAAAGCACTTAGAAATATCTAACAAACATGCTCCAATCATCTCGGAGTCATCCATGCATTCAAGCCATTTATCAACGACTCTGTGTAAACAAGTAACTGTAGAGTGATTCTTAAGAAACGCAAATTGATCAATATTGATTAAATCATAATCACTAAGATAGGAAGTCAATTGAGCTTGCACCTCTTTCTCAACAATCTTTGCAATATGACTTACAGTGGATATTGGTCTAAAGTTGCTCATACACTCTTTACTACCCTTTCCTTTATAAATTGGCGTTGTCCGCGCAATTTTCCAATCATCCGGAACACAGCCAGAAGTTAAAGAAAGGTTAAAAATGTGGCAAAGAGAAACAGAGATAAAGGGTGCCGCTAATCTAAGTAGTTTACTATCAAGGTCTAACACATCAAGATTTTTTTCAGGTAGTTGTTTTAGTCTATCAAGTATGGTATGAACATTTATATAATCAAAGGAGAAGGAATATTCACAAGGTGGATTTTTCCATTTTAGAAAAATTGTTTCCAAAGGTTTTTGACATTTTTTCGCCAATATTAGTAAAATAAAATTGAAGTCATTACACTCGATATTAGAAGAATATGTGTTTTTCGTATTTTTACCCGTTAATTTACTTAATTCATTCCACATTTTTTTTGGATTTTTACTATATCTAATATTGATAGAGTTAAAGTAATTATATTTCGCCTTTTTAATCTTGGCATTTATCAAGTTTCTAAGCCGTTTATATTCTGATTTATGTTCAGGATTATTCATAACTTTGCTTTTAATGTAATCTCTTTTATACATTAGTTTAATCAATTCAGGTGATATCCACGGGGAGTATCTATGTTTGACTCTTGTATTTCTGATGGGTGCATGTTTGTTGCAAATATTAGTGAAAGAGTCATAAAATATATCCCAAGCTCTATTTGCATCGTTTTCATTAGGAATGCTTAGTAAATTCTGAGAACAATTAATATCATGAAGAAATCTTTCTTCATCAAAGTGTTTGTAATCTCTGAAATGAATTGTCTTATGTTTAACTTGTTTTGTGTCAATTTTTAGGCAACTATAGACCAAGAAATGATCACTTACGGCAATTTTTGCAATACCACTAATATGATGCTGTTCCGGCATTGTTGTAAGAATTAAGTCAATACAACTTGAGGAGTGTGGTGTAACTCTGGTTTTATCTAAAATTAATTGTCTCATCACAAATAAATTCTCAATCATACTATAGGATTTTCTGACAGATTTTCATCAAGGACATAATCAATGTTTAAATCGCCGAGTAACACAATTTCTTTATCCTCCAGGATAACTTTCTCTAGGGTATCTACAATCGTATTTAAGTATTCGTAAAACTACTACTACTACTACTAGAGGTGAGCTTGCATCGCTCGATTACCATCTAGTATGTTAAACATCGCGATTAGTTTTGATAAAATAGAACAAAATTCATGATCACTCAAAGAAGATTGGTCTAATTACGGAAATACACAAACATTCTACTTACATTTACCTCTGGGCCTAGATTTTTAACGTTCACGTTACCGTATTGGACAACCCAAGGATAAATGTGGTGGTGAACAAATATGCATTTACTGTGTCGATGTTTAACTATAGTGTTGAAAATATGGTAGGGTACATATGTAGAGGTAAGATAAATGAAGTATGGCGATTACTTTAAAGGGCATTACTAATTACTGTACATTTCTCTTAGAATTTATATATTTGTAACATGTTGAAGATATTACTGTGGATCCAGAGTTAAGATAAGGAAGTGCAGTCGTAAGAAATTAATTTAGAAAAGTTTAAGACCGACGACGAAATAAAAGATATCACAATGTTGAAGAAGACCATATGAACTACAAGAAAATTAAATAGAAGCTTGGATAGAAGATTTATGAAGATAAACTAGGGAGTAGTAAGTAGTAGTAAAGAATTAACATCTCATTAAGACTGTTCAACTCCGGAGTCCGGAGAAAAAGCCGTAAAAAATGAGTTCAATGGTAATGATATAGGACCGTTCACATCAAATTCGTACGATTTCTAATCCAGACTCCGGATCCGGACCGATGGATCTGAGATCCATTTGTATCCTGAAATCGTACGGTTTTTTTTGTGTTTTTTTTTTCTTTTTCTTGGACCAAGCTGCAACAAGCTTGGTTGGTTCGAACCAATCGAACGCAAACGTCCAGGTTTCGGACCGGATCCGGGCTTGATGCGAACGTAGCATAAGTTAAGATATCTGTATTGTATAGACAGCAAAAGATACCGAGTTCGATTATATATATAAACATATACATATATACATACATATACACATATATATGCACATATATACTGTAAGTTAAGATATCTGTATAGTTTAGACAGCAAAAGATACCGAGTTCGATTCAAAAAGATGGTACCTATTTTTTCACACTCGCAGATTTCTATTATGAATATATA